ACCCCCAGGTTGAGAACCACTGACCTAGAGCAACCTCTGGCTGCAGATCAGGACAGTACCACAATTTGTTGACAGAATGTACTCCTCTTTCTGCTCCTTTCTTCCAGATGACTCCACTTGCACCCCATGCCCCGAGCACCAGTGGTCTCCCAAGCGAAGCACTCAATGTTTTGACCGCTGTGAGAAATACATTTTCTGGTCTGAGCCACTAGCCGTCTACTTGCTGGGCCAGTTGCTTGTGGCCTTTGTTCTCACCTGCCTTTCAGGTGTGCTGTTCCTGAAGAACCTCCAAACGCCAGTGGTGCAAGCATCTGGTGGTGGCCTGTGCCTCTTGGCCCTCCTCGGCCTGGCGGCCATGTGCATCAGTGGCGTCCTCTTCATTGGCAGACCCAGCCTGACCATTTGCCACGTCCAGCAACCCTTTTTTGCCCTGTGCCTCAACCTTTGCTTCTCCACCATCTTGGTCAAAGCTCTCCAAATCATGTTGGCTGTAGACTTTGCCGACAGCCGACCAAACGTCCTCCGTACGATCATCCAGAGACACCCCTGGGTCCTTGTGACCGGGTGCGTCTTAGCTGAGACCTTACTCTGCGTAGTGTACCTCTACGCCACCCCATCTCTCCTGGTCAAGAACTACAAGCTCTTGCCCACGGAAGTCCTCCTTCAGTGCTACGTCCAGTCCTGGCTCACCTTTACCAGCATCCATGGGCTCAACGGCATCTTGGCGTTCATCTCTTTCATTTGCACTTTCATGGTGCAGTCGTCTCCCAAGAAGTACAACATTGCCCGGGCCATCGCCTTCGCCATGCTCACGTACTTCATCGCCTTGATCATCTTCATACCAACGTATGCCACTGTGAAGCAAGTAGACCAGCCAGCGGTCCAGATCGGCGCCATATTGCTGTGTACTTATGGGATGCTCACAGCTTATTATCTCCCGAAATGCTACATCCTTTGGTTTAAGCCAGAATGGAACACGCAGGACTATTTTCACGATTACACCCAAGACAGAATCCAAGCGAAAGATGCCCAGAATTAGCGCCTTTGAGGCCGGAAGGACAATTTAGCCACCAAGACAGTGGTTCTCAACCTTCCTAATGCCCCTAAGGACATGCCAGGGACTTGATCGGGAGGGCGTGTATCGACAACAAAGCTCATCGGAATGGAAGATGGAGTGACAGCACCTCCCTGTGGCCAGAGCCGAGCACAGCCTCCAGATGCTGGAGATGGAAAAGAGGGGAAAGCCTTGACCACTGTTTATGTATTGTCTGTCCTTGTCTATATAAATAAAAATGTAACGTTCGTTTGTGGGATTAACAGAACTCAAAAACCACTGGACAAATTGACACCAAATTTAGACAGCACACACCTAACAATCCAATGAATGTCCTAAACTCAAAATTTTTTGATTTTGTCATTTGGGAGTTGTAGTTGCTGGGATTTCTACTTCACCTACAATCAAAGAGCATTCTGAACTCCACCAATGATGACATTGAACCAAACTTGGCACACAGGACTCCCATGACCAACAGAAAACACTAGAAGGGTTTGGTGGGTATTGACCTTGAGTTTGGGAGTTGGAGTTCACCTACATCCAGAGAGCGCTGTGGACTTAAACAATGATAGATCTGGACCAAACTTGGCACAAATACTTAATATGCCCAAATGTGAACACTGGTGGAGTTTGTAGAAAACAGACCTTTGACCTTTGGGAGTTGTAGTTGCTGGGATTTATAGTTCACTTACAAACAAAGAAAATTCTGAACCCCACCGATGATAGAATTTGGTCAAACTTCCCACGCAGATCACCCATGTCTTGAAGGGAGTCAGTATAATGAGCCTCCCTCCAGCCTTGCACGCTCTCCCTTACCTTCTGAATCCCACCAATGTTGGAATTGGGCCAAAATTCCCACACAGAACGTCCATGCCTTGAAGGGACTCACTGGAATGACCTCCCTCCGGCCTTGCATGCTCTCCCTTGCCTTCTGAATCTCACCAATGTTGGAATTGGGCCAAAATTCCCACACAGAACATGTGTGGGTTAAAGGGATGCAATGACTCAGCAAACGCTGGAGTTCAGTATAAGCAGTTGTGCCTGTATATTAGTAATCCTCAATCTGTGAGAAATCTCTGTGGGAAAAGGGCCTCAATGTGTGAGTAGGCTTCAGTATGAGAAGGCCTCAGTGTTAGTAAGCCTCAGTGTGTGAAGGCCAGCTGTGAGAGAGTGCATAATTGTGGGAGAAGCCCCAGGTTGAAGGCTATCGCCTCAGTGTGAGGGAGGCCTTACTCTAAGAGAGCCCTCAGTATGAAAGGGACTTAGTGTGAGAAAGGCCTCAGTGTTAGTAAGCCTCAGCGTGTGAAGGCCATCTGTGAGAGAGTGCCTCATTGTGGGAGAAGCCCCAGGTTGAAGGCTATCTCCTCAGTGTGAGGGAGGCCTTACTCTAAGAGAACCCTCAGTGTGAGAAAGGCCTCAGTGTTAGTAGGCCTCTGTGTGTGAAGGCCAGCTGTGAGAGAGTGCCTCATTGTGGGAGAAACCCCAAGTTGAAGGCCATCACCTCAGTGTGAGGGAAGCCTCACTCTAAGAGAGGCCTCAGTGTGAAAGGGCCTCAGTGTGAGAAAGGCCTCAATGTTAGTACGCCTCAAGTGTGTGAAGGCCAGCTGTGAGAGAGTGCCTCATTGTGGGAGAAGCCCCAGGTTGAAGGCCATCACCTCAGTGTGAGGGAAGCCTCACTCTAAGAGAGCCCTCAGTGTGAAAGGGACTTAGTGTGAGAAAGACCTCAGTGTTAGTAGGCCTCAGTGTGTGAAGGCCAGCTGTGAGAAAGTGCCTCAGGTTGTGAGAGAAGCCTCAGGTTGAAGGCCATCACCTCAGTGTGAGGGAAGCCTCACTCTTAAGAGAGGCCTCAGTGTGAGAAAGGCCTCAATGTTAGTACGCCTCAGTGTGTGAAGGCCAGCAGTGAGAGAGTGCCTCATTGTGGGAGAAGCCCCAGGTTGAAGCCCCAGGTTGAAAGCCATCTTCAGTGTGAGAAAAGAAGAGTTGAGAAAAGGATTTCATGTCTGGAATCACTGGGTAGCTGTGAGTTTTCCAGACTGTCTGGCCATGTTCCAGAAGCATTCTCTCCTGATATTTCACCCACATCTGTGTCTGGCATCCTCAGAGGTTATGAGGTCTGTTGAAAACTAGGGAAATGGGGTTTAGTTTCCAACAGACCTCACAACCTCTGAGGATGCCTGCCACAGATGCAGGCGAAAAGTCAGGAGAGAATGCTTCTGGAACATGGCCATACAGCCCAAAAAACCTACAGATTCTGCCTTCGATAATAAACCAATTTATAGTTTGGTACGTGAAATCAATGTATTTGCCTGGAATATCAATATCCTGCCCATTTTCTTGGTTCCCTTTTGCCTCTCGTTGTGGTTGAAACCAAATCCGTAAAGGGAACACCAGGGTGCGATACAAGGGATTTATTTTTCGCCAGGATTTGAATGCACTGGTTTAGTCCTCCATCTTTGCAAAGGAGATGAAAATGAGGAGAGAAATCGCGCAAGGCTCTTGTTCCTCATTCAAATCAAGAGGGAAAGCCAAATGGCTCTTGAAGGTATGCAAACGGAGCTGGGTCGAGGACTGCAAATGACTCATCCACCCACATCTTGACATGAAAAACAAGGGGAAACAAAGGAAAGTGGGGCAGCAAAGAAGCAAAACATGTTTTCAAACTGGAAAGTTTTGTTTGCTGTGGTAAGTATTGCTGCTCAAGGTGTGGCTAGGAATTTGGTTAAAATCCTGCCATAACACTCTGTTTCTTTAAATGGTAGCAAAGCTAGGTCACCATAATTTGGAAGGCAGTTTGACGGTATGTATAGACCCAGGTTGAAAACAAGGACCCTAATACCCTCCAAGGCATTAGATCAGTGGTTCCCAACCTTTTTTTGACCACGGACAACTCTCCGACATAAGTACCAAAAGGACTATGAATCGGTTTTTTGGTCAACTTTAGATTCAGATTGGTTTATTTGTGGTGGTGATTCAGAAAATTGCATTGGATAGACAGCATAAGCTGATTCAGAAAATTACATTGGATAGACCACATCAGCTGATTCAGAAAATTGCATTGGATAGACCACATCAGCTGATTCAGAAAATTGCATTGGATAGACCACATCAGCTGATTCAGAAAATTGCATTGGAATAGACCACATCAGCTGATTCAGAAAATTGCATTGGATAGACCACATCAGCTGATTCAGAAAATTGCATTGGATAGACCACATCAGCTGATTCAGAAAATTGCATTGGGTAGACCACATCAGCTGATTCAGAAAATTGCATTAGATTGACCACATCAGCTGATTCAGAAAATTCTATTAGATAGACCACATCAGCTGATTCAGAAAATTGCATTGGATAGACCACATCAGCTGATTCAGAAAATTGCATTGGATAGACCACATCAGCTGATTCAGAAAATTGCATTAGATCGACCACATCAGCTGATTCAGAAAATTGTATTAGATAGACCACATCAGCTGATTCAGAAAATTGCATTGGATAGACCACATCAGCTGATTCAGAAAATTGCATTGGATAGACCACATCAGCTGATTCAGAAAATTGCATGGGCTAGACCACATCAGCTGATTCAGAAAATTGCATTGGATAGACCACATCAGCTGATTCAGAAAATATGCATTGGATAGACCACATCAGCTGATTCAGAAAATTGCATTGGATAGACCACATCAGCTGATTCAGAAAATTGTATTAGATAGACCACATCAGCTGATTCAGAAAATTGCACTGGATAGACCACATCCGCTGATTCAGATAATTGCACTGGATAGAACACATCAGCTGATTCAGACAATTGCATTGGATAGACCACATCAGCTTTAGTTTCCGATATAGAACATACTCCCCTCTATTCTGCCTTAGACAGACTTTACCTGGAATCACACTGTGTCCAGTTCTGGGCACCACAATTGAAGGGAGATGTTGACTCTAAGCGGGAATGTGTCCAGAGGAGGGTGACTCAAATGATCAAGGGTCTGGAGAACAAGCCCTATGAGGAGCGGCTGAAAGAGCTGGGCATGTTTAGCCTGCAGAAGAGAAGGCTGAGAGGAGACATGATGAGGGCCATGGATAAATATGTGGGGAAATCATAGGGAGGAGGGAGCAAGCTTGTTTCTGCTTCCCTGGAGACTAGGACGCAATGGAGCAATGGCTTCAAACTACAAGGAAGGAGATTCCACCTGAACATGAGGAAGAACTTCCTGACTGTGAGAGCTGTTCAGCAGTGGAACTCTCTGCCCCGGAATGTGGTGGAGGCTCCTTCTTTGGGGGCTTTGAAACATAGACTGGATGGCCATCTGTCGGGAGTGCTTTGAATGCGATTTTACCAACATCAGATTTGGCCCACAGGTTACTACATGGCCATCCATGGCTGCCATGTTCCTGGTATTGCATGTAAATAATATGTTTTGTTTATAATTTGACTTAAAGTTCCTTCACCTGCTTCTTTCCTCGGCAGAGGTGCCCAGGAGGGAGCCATTTATCATTTCTTCGTTCTCCGTTTCCATCGACTGCTATTCAAATTGGGAAAAGGAATGGCATTTGGGGGCTTTAAAGCCACAGCCTGCTGGGCAACGTGTTTGAATGCTGCTCGCTCTGCGGCCATTGATGGGAAGAGAAGAAGAAGCCTCAGCCGCAGAGAGGAGAAGGAGAGCTGCCCAACTGAACAGTCAGTATGGATATCTAGTCACAGTTAAATAGGCCAAAGCTGAGTTTCGGCAAAATTCCATGGCTGACAATCCCAAGGCCTGGTTCAAGGTAAAGGTAAAAAGGTAAAGGCAAAAAGGTGAAGGTAAAAAGGTAAAAGGAAAAAGGTTAAGGTAAAAGGGTAAAGGTAAAAAGGAAAAAGGAAAAAGGTGAAGGTAAAAAGGTGAAGGTAAAAAGGTGAAGGTAAAAAGGTAAAGGTAAAAAGGTAAAGGAAAAGGAAACGGCAAAAAGGTAAAGGTAAAAAGTTAAAGGGAAAAAGGTGAAGGGAAAAAGGTAAAGGTAAAGGAAAAGGTAAAAAGTTAAAGGTAAAATGGTGAAGGTAAAAAGGAAGAGAAAAAGGTGAAGGTAAAAAGGTAAAGGTA